ATAGGGTTCAGAAAGAACACATATGTCATCTCCCTATATTCTAATGTAAGCAGTTTGTCCTCGGTTCCTGATGATTGTTCCTTCCTAGTGACCTTTTTATGTTTCTCTCAACTCCTGTGTTTGTATTTCAAAGTTTCTATATGGCTCTGATCTTTTCACAATTCTTTCTGGTAGGCATGATTATCATCTTTGTTTTACAGATGAAGAAACTGAGGCTGAGAGAAGGCTTGTCCCAAGTCATTTAGGTAGTAAGCAGCAAAGCTGGAATTTGAACCCGCATCCTTTGCTTCCAAATTCAGCAGTTTTTGTTGTCAGGCATATATTTACACATCAGGCTTACTAGCATAGTGAGATGAAGGGGAAAATTCCTCTCCCACTCAGCTACTCATTCTTTTTCTATGTCCCACTGCCCTCAGAACCCCATTCTTTTTTTTTTCTTTTTACAGAGGAGGAAACCGAGGTGCAGGAAAGAAACATGGTTCTTTTCCGTAAGGAAGTGAACCCCTCTAATTTCTGCCCACTCTGCTTGACCTAGCAAAGGAAGAGTGCTATGTCAGCATCTGAGAAATAATGGTCCCTTCCCTCTTCTGAAAAAAAAAGAGGCCCACTAATAGTGAGTGGGTGAGAAGGCAATGAGCTGAATGTGTGCAGAACCAGAATTTCCCTTTCACATGCACTCTCTTTGACCTGCAGATAAACAAAGACTTTCTATTTCTAGAAATCCAATTGCTCTGACTGAAGTAACCATTTTTTTAAAGCTTCAAAGAGCATTTCTTTATGCATACGCCTTAAGAGCATTGTGGGACTGGTCCCAATTTTTTTTTCTCTTTTTCTTGTTTTTATATAACAAACACTCAAAACTTTTCTACCTGGAACTAAGTCCTAGTGGTTTGGTTTTACTTCCTCCAACTCCGTGTGATGTGAAAAACAGAGCTATGAGTTTTATCAAATCAGTAAGATACTGGATACTGATGGAAACTTGGTACCTGTAAAATCTTCACCCTGCATAAATAGGGTTGAGAACCAGCTTTTTTTTTTTAATCAAAGGTGAACCTTTTAACTCTAGTATGCTAAAACTATTATTAAACAAGATAGACTCATGCAAGCACTTGATTTTTAGAAATGTCAACTGAGATTTCTTTGCAAAATGATCAATCAGCAATCATTTATTAGACTCCTACCACATGCCAGGTCTTGATGATACAAAGATAGAATTGAGATTGTCCCTGCTGCAAAGTGCATATGTTTTACTGGGGTATAAAATATGTTCTCAGAAAAATAAATGTAGGATATATACAAAATAAATAATATACAGTGAAAGGCATTAGTAACTGGGCAAAATCAGAGGGGGCCTCTTGAAGGAGGTGGAACTTGAGTTAGCCCTAAGTTACGGGTTCTGAGAAGCGGAAGTGAAGAGAGACAGTATTGCAGTCATGGAGTAAGGGAACAGATAGAATGTCAAATTTAGGAAGGAGTAAATAGTGCAATCTGGACAGAATATAGAGTGTGCATGTGAGGGGAGTAGTATTTAATCACCCTTGAAAGATAGGCCGTGGCCAGATTGTGAAGAGTTTTCAATGGCCAAAAATATATGGAGTTTCTGTTTTGTCCTGAAGACATTAGAAAAGTATTTGAGGTTTTTAAATGAAGCTTCAGGAAGGCAATGACTTTGTCATATGTTACTTTTATGTACCTCCAGGTACCTAGCACACCTTCCACAATTAGAACCAGATCTTATTTCCTCCAATGAAGTATAAGTGCCTTGAGGGTATGGCCTGACTTACTTTTGTATTTGTATCCCCAGAGACTGACATGTAGTAGGTGCTTTATTGATACCTCTTCACGAAATTAGGACCAACTCTCATTTCCCTCAATGGAGTACAAGTGCCTTGAAGGCATGGCTTGGATCACTTTTGTATTTGTATCCCCAGACCCTGACACATAGTAGGTGCTTTATTGATACATCTTCATTGATCAAATCTCATGTGGTTAGTTCAGGGGTATGTGAGAGATGAGGCTACATCTGACTTATTTCAGCATGGTAGTTCTACTTTTCCATGCTCATCTTCTCAACAGGGCTTCTTGTTTACAAAGGCAAATGTGGAGAACACGTAATACACATGAATTTGGAGAGGTTTCATTAACTTCTGACTGTATACAGTATGCACAGTGTCAGGGATATAAATATAGAGACAATATAGTTCATGCTGTCTGGGAGTTTGCAGTCTAAATGGGGGCAAAGACAGGTATACAAATAATTAGGATGCAAGGGAGAGTGAGAAAAATGCGAAGTCAAGACAAAGGAGAGTCAAACATTTAAGGGAGAGGTCACTTTTACCTGAAAGCATCAGTGAAAGCTTCATGGAACCTAAGTTGGGTCTTTGATGAAAGGAGGGACATCAATAGATAGTAATGGATCAGGGAGGGCATTCCAGGCATGGGGATGCCGAGAACAAAGGCAGCAAGACATAAGAAGGTGGGATTAGAATGGAAGATAAGGCTATATCAGATTGTGGGCAGTCTTGGGGAGGGAGGTGGGAAGGGAGGGGGAGAAAAATTTAAAACTCAAAAGCTTATGGAAGTGATTGTTGTTAAATCAAAATAAACTAATAAAAAAATAAAAAATAAGGCATTAAAAAAAAGAATGGAAGATAAGAATCTTTGGCTGGAATGTAGGAAATACCAAGTGGGAAGTTAGGAAAGCAATACCTCCAACAGGTTGGATCCAAACTGCACAAAATGACTGCTAAGATTAGGAGTTTACTCCATTTTCAAAAGTAAGAAGTAATGGAAAGAACAGTTTTTGGAACCTATGGCCCTAGATTCAAGTATCAACTCTGCAACTTAGTATATGATAGTGAGCAAGATAACTTTCCATCTCTGAGCCTCAGTTGCTTTATCTGTGAAATGAGAGAGTTAGACTACATGATCTCTATGCTCCTTTCTAGTTCTGGCATTTTGTGTTCTAAGGTCCCTTCAAATTCTGGCAGTCTGTGGTTCTGTGATGTGTTCCCCCAAAGTGCCAAGATCAGGGCTCTAGACAAAGTAAGCACTTGGTTTTTTTAAACAAATGAGACAGAGAGGGAGAAAGAGAGGGAGAGAGGGAGGGAGGGAGGAAGAAAGGGGGGGAGGGAAGGAGGGAGGAGGAGAGAGAGAGAGACAGAAGGAGGGGAGGGAGAGAGAGAGAAAGAGAGAGAGAGCACATTGAAATATTGATGATTTAAACACTCTCAAAACATAATTCAGGTTTATGCAAACATGCAAACAGATTCCCAGACAGTATTTGAACATAGAAATGAGTTTCAAACTTAAAAGGCTTCCTCCTGCCTGGATTGTTTCATTGGCCCTGTGACCTTGGCCAAGTGATTTAATCTTCCTGAATTTCATTTTTCTCATCTGTAAAATTAGGATAAGGATACTTTCACTCCATACCTCATCAGGATGTTATCAGCAAAGCACTTCATGGGACATTATGGTTAGTATTGGACTCAGAATCAAGATCTGACTTCTAATCCCACTTCTCACTCCCACTAGCTTTGTGACCTCGAACAACTCATTTAAGTTCTCCAAGGCTCAGTTTTCTTCTCTGTAATATGGGAATAATAATACAATAGTACTTCCTGGGATTGTTTTGAGGATCAGATGAGGTAATGGATAATGCTACATAGATACAGGAACTATGACAATTTAAAAAGTACTGTGACAGTGAAAGCTTTTAACATCCCTGCCTACCTCACAGGAGTGAGTTACTATAAATTAAGTGTAAGTTTTTTTGAAAACTGTAAAGCACTATACAGGTCTAAGTTAACATTTATATTATCAGTGAAATTGTAAGTAAAACTGCCCATTGGCTTTCCTTTGTTGTTGTTATTCTAATGATTTCCTTCAGGGTAGAAGGTCATTTTAATGGACGCTTTTCCTTTAAATACCCACCTTATTACGGACCTATTACAAGCAAAATAAAATAAGCTATAAAGAGGAAAAGAAAAACAAGTGAACCTGCTTGTGAGGTCCTGGAAAGGGAAATGCGTCATTTGCACATGGTGACAGACATTGCCAAGCTACGGCTTTTGCCTTTTTTAAAAAGGAAAAGTTAATGAATACTTATTGTGTACCTACTATGTACCAGAGCATACAGAGGATACAAAAGATTCAGGAACTGTGACCCTTACTCCTTAAACACTTAGGAGACATACATATACACAGATATGTTTATGTGTATTGTACTGTTTGTATACATTATACATACATATACAGAATGTAATCATTCTGTATATGTATGTATAATGTATACAAACTTATATTTTATATAATTTCTATTGTATATATACTCACCTATTTCTATTTTATCAGTATATGTTTATATATATACATATGTTTCTAACATACACACACATACACATATATATATATATATATTTTCCCCTCCTTCTGCCTTTTCTCTTATTCCTCTCCCAACTGAAATTTAAAAGTAATTCTTAGAGATTTGTGTGGGTCCCACTGTGGTTCAGTGACTGCTTTATGGTCACACAGCTAACAAGTGTCAGAGCATGACTTGAATCCAGGGCTTCTTCATGCCAAGATCAGCTCGATCTTCACCAAATCATGCTACCTTTCCTCATCACATACACTATAAGCCAAAGTTATGGAACAGTCTGAAATAAATTCTATTTTAATTGGAAACAAAATCTGAAATGAAGAATTGAAAGTCCCCTTTGCAATCATTTATCATCATTTGGGATAGAGAAAGAAAGAAAGAAAAAGAAAGAAAGAAGGAAAGAAGGAAAGAAAGAAAGAAAGAAAGAAAGAAAGAAAGAAAGAAAGAAAGAAATTAGTAGTTATTTTTGAGTAACTTTGGAGGGAGGCAAGTTGAGGAGATAGTTTTTAGTACCCTAACTACAGGGTTTCATTTTCAAATGTAAAAAAAAAAAAACCACAGAATCTCAAACTGATTATCTCTGTATATATGTGTAAATCTGTCTTATTTTGTTTCTCTACAGCTGACGATACCGTGGTTGCCATTCCCTATGGAAGCAGACATGTTCGCCTTGTCTTAAAGGGACCTGATCACTTGTGTAAGTAACTTGATCAATTGCCTTCCTAGATATAATCTGCTATAGCACAGTCCTTATTCCTCTACTTGTGATTGAGGTTTATGTTTATTTTTTTCTTCCCACCAAAAACTGAAACACAGAAATAACAAATCTTTCAACTCTACTATAAAAATTGTATTTTGAATGCTACTGTTTATTTCTTGGCTGATTCATTTGATGCTAGAAAGCTCTGTAGCAGTTATTTCTAACCAGATTGACAGCGAAGAGTACAGAATATACATACCCAGCTGACAAGTTTCTTTTTTTCTGGAGTCCATTCCTTTCTGTCTCTGTCTCTCTTTGTCTCTGTCTCTGTCTCTGTCTCTCTCTCTCTCTCTTCCCTCCTCCTCCTCTCTGTCTCTCTTTTTCCCCTGATTTCTTCACTCTTTTTATTCTTTTAGTTCAGAGTGACATAAAATAAACAAGTGAGTTTCTAACCTGTAGTGCCTAAGGGAAGTAATTCAGTTCAACAAATGATTTTGAACACCTACTGTGTGTCCAAGGAATTCAACTTATCAAGTTAAGTCAATGAGTATTTATTGAGTGCTTATTTAATGCTACATAGACTTATATAGTCCTGATATCTTAAGTTAGCAGTAGTTAGAATGCAGAATCCAAGTGTAGGCATTTTGTTTACAGTTTCTAACACCAAGTGGTAGAGTTGCCTCACCAAAGTTTTTTCACTACATTGAAAGAATTGATCTGTATTTTTGGCCTTTTAGCTATACAGGGTCAGGGTCACCTTTTAAAAATTATTTTCTTCTTTTAAGTTTATGGCTATTTAGATGTAGATCTGTGAATTACAAGCAGAAAATTATGGGCTATAAACCAGGAAGGGGGGTGGGGAGAACATCCTAAGGTTTTTTTAAAAGTTCAGTTTGACTGAAATTCTTCACTTTAACGGGCCCCTTGGGCATCCCTGATCAGCTCCACTGTGGTTGATTCTCTCTTCCCAGTAAATGATCTATCTTCTGTTGCCTCTCCACACATGCATATGCAACTGACTTAGATAGCAAACATTATCTTTTGGCCATTGAGTCTGGATGAAATCACTACTAAGAAACAAGAAAGACAAATAAGAGCCCCTAACAGTAAAACAAGAAAACCAACTATGGGGCTCTTTATAAAAATACAAATGAAAATGTCTGATGGTAGTGGTAGTGGGGAGGGAAGGATACATGGAACCTGTATGTGTCTTTAAAGAATAAGAAAGAATAGAATGGAACTTAAGCACAATTGAAGGAGGGCAATCTCTTACCTCCTCAGAAACCAAGTTCATTTCTAGCTTTGGACAACTCCATAAAATACACTGTTTCCATGTCAAAGGACTTTATACGTGCATGTGAACTATAGCTGTTCAGAAGATTCTTTTTCCCCTTTGCGAATAGAGCAGGGTTGACTGCCGGCTCACTGCCGGTGTAGCAACCACACTCAAAAACAGTATTTTTCTGGGCAATGACACACTAAAATAAAATCTCCAAGCCAAGGCCATCAGAAAACGAGGAAGAAGCTGGCTTCACTAGAAAGCAGTGAGCCCAAAGGAATGGATTAAAGTGAGTATTTTAGAATAGACCAGTCTCTGTTTTACTTGCTATAAAGGTACAATGAAACTGGAAAACTAAGTTATTTAGCCTAATCAGCAAAGTGACCCAAGGGCTACAAAGCCAATCAGATTTATAGAAGACAAAAAAGTGAAATAAAATCTGCTAAATCCTTTATTTCAGCACATCGAGTTTTTGTTGAAAACTCAAGCATTATTTCTAAGAAGTAATCCTCCTACTCTCCCTCTTCCTACCCCTTGCCACCATTTTTGGAGATTGCACAGCAAAATGAATGTCTGAGTAAGCAACATTGGGTTCCTCCTCCATTCTTTCCCTCCCTACTCCCAGAGGCTGATCCAGTTTTGGCAGAGTCTTGAGTATTCAGGTCCAGATTGGAACAGACCCAGATGGATTGGCCTGGCTCTAGGTCATCTTCCTGAAAGAGCCTCAGGAAGCCAATTCAATCCCACAGCCAGAGCAGCCTTAGACCTCCAGGGCTAGGCTAGAACCAGCTTCTGTTGCAAGGCCAGTGATAATATTAGTTAGTTGGATAAAGGCCAGAGGACATGCTTATCAAATCTGTAGATAATACAAGGCTAGGAAAAAAGAACTAATAGATGTTGTTTACATGTTGTCTCTAATACCATCAAGATTCGAAAAAAGATACTTTGGGGTTCAAAGGATGAGCCTAAGCTAACAAGAAGAAATTTAAATGAAACTCATGTGGGAATGCAAATTTTATCTAGGAGAATTGTTCCTTGTCTTGGATTTGTCTTAGGTTTGAAAATCAGCTATGCAAGTACAAGATGGCAGGGGAGGAGATGGGGGGCGGGCATGGCTTAATGGGAGGTCAGGTGAAAAAGATCCAGTTTACATAATGATGTGGGAAAACAAAAACCCTCTAGTACAATTATGCTTTATTAAGAGAATCCAGTGTCCAAACTGAGGAAGGTTGTAGTCCTGTTTTCTCTGCCCTGGTCAAATCTAACCTGGAATACTTTATTCAGTTCTTAAATGGCTAGAGTATTAGCAAGGCAGTCAACTAGGTGGTGCAATCAGAATCAGTAGAGTCCTGGAATCAAAGTTCTGAGAAGTCAGAAAGACCTGAGTTCAGATTCTGCCTCAAACCATTCTCCAGCTGTGTGACCCATTTCAAATCATTTGACCTCTCTCTTCCCTAGTTTCTTTGTCTGTCAAATGAAAATAACAATAACATCTACCTCAGAGGATTTTGTGAAGATTAAGTAAGATAAATATATAAATCCTTTTGCAAGCCATAAATGTTAGCTATCATTATTAATATTATCACTATTTTCAGAGGGAGGCAACAAGGACAGGTAAGGGAAGAGGACATCATGCCATCAGATCAGTTGAAGGAAGAAGGGATGCTTAGCCTAGAAAAGAGAAGACCTATGGCAACATGGTAGCTGTCTTCAAGCATCCAAAAGGCTATCATATGGAAGAAATGATTTGACTTATTTTATCAAGTTCCAGAGGGTAGAAGTAAGACTAATGGATTATAAGGAGATATATTTCAGAAACCTGAGTATAAAGAACCACTTTGTAACAATCAGAGCTATTTGAAATTGGAATGGGGTAGTGAGCTCCCCAGCCCTGGAACTGTTTAAGAAGAGGCTAGAAAGGCATTTTTCAGTTGTCCATAGAGGAGATGTCCCTCTCGGCAGGGAACGGGACTGGATTGGATAATGTGCTTCTAGACCAGGAGTCCTTAACATTTTTCGTGTCATGTTCCTCTTGGCAGTCTGACAAAGCATATGAACCCTTTCTTAGAGTGTTTGTAAATGAATAAAATAAGATAGATAAGGTTACCAAGGAGAACAATTATATTGAAAGATTTATTAATATCTATATTTTTTAAGTTCACATATCCCAGGTTTAAGAACCCCTATTCAAGAGCAGTCTGTGTATATACCTAAAGGAGCAGGTTAATGAGGTTCAGGGGAGGGGGAAGAGACCAAAAAAAACCCCACAAAATACAGAAACTAAAAAAGGGTCTGGAACCTCTCTCCAGAGTCTAGACCAGGGATGGGGAACCTGTGGCCTCAAGGCCACATGTGCCCTCTAGGGCCTCAAGTGCAGTCAATCCAATGTGAATTCAGTCAAAGAGCCACACTTGAGGCCCTAGAGGGCACATGTGGCCTTGAGGCCCCAGATTCCCCATCCCTGGTCTAAAGCAATATGAGGTTATTGCAGTTGGGCTCCTTTCCACTGAGTTACATTTTTTCGTCAAGACTGAATGGTGTGGTACAATGTCAGAAACTGTGTAGAGATTTGAGCAAAGGAGTGATCCGTGCATGGCACAGTTAGTTGTGGGCTACAATAAAGATAATGAGTAGACATGGATTGGCAAGCAAGAAGTCATTCCAGGTCAAGGGAGTAGCTGAAAGGCATGGAGAAAGGAAACTGTGAGATGGGGATGAGAGCCAGTGAGGAGACGAGTGTGGTTAGAGAAAAAAGGGCTGGATTTGGAAGGTCTACAGAAATGAAGTTAAACAGGTATGAGGGAGAAGCAGCCATTGGGGAGCCTTGAATGCTGGGCTGAGGATTTTTGAGTCCTTTCAATCCTGTTTGTTTCATCTCAACAAATATATATTAAGCAAGGATGTAAGGTACTGTGCACAGCACTAAGAATTAAAAGAACTTACAGTCATGCGAAATTTAAGCCTCTCCCAGCCCAGATAATTCACAATTGGCTTTATGCTTTTCACAGGTATTTTAAATATAAGATAAAATTCCTTCTTATCAGCTATCTAAAAACCCTGTTCCTCCGCTTCTGTTTTTAGCCTGTGGTATTGACTGGTATACAACTCAATAAACATTCATTAAGTACTGTGCCAGGCACTGTGCTAAATTCTGGGAGTACAAATAAGAAAAAGAAAAACAGTCTCTCCCTTCAAGGAGCTTACAATCTAATTGGGAAAGACAACACACAAAAAGAAGCTGGAAAGGGGTACCCAGAAAACAGGGAGTACCCAGGACAGGGTCATCTTGGAACATCTTGTTCCATGGAATAGAAACCAAGCAGAGGTGCAGATGGAAAGTGGCAGGTAAGCTGGGAAATCCTGGTCCCACCCTCTACAAAGGAAAGCTTTGTTTAGTGTTCCACCCTCCAATCCTCCCATCAGAGTGGAGAGGAAGCAGAGGGAGATGGGAAGGTGGTACAGGCTTATAAGTGTCCTTGCTGGTTTGGAGAATACTGACCTCTCTTCTTCCTTTGTCTCTTGATGTAGATCTGGAAACTAAGACTCTTCAGGGTACAAAAGGTGAAAACAGCCTCAGCACCACAGGCACCTTCCTCGTAGACAATTCCAGTGTGGACTTTCAGAAGTTTCCGGACAAAGAGATATTGAGAATGGCCGGACCCCTCACTGCAGATTTCATTGTCAAAGTGAGTAGCAACCACCATGATCTAGATTTACAACTATAAAATGAACCAATTAATGAAAAGTCACTCCAGGGACCATGAAATTTGATCCAATTCAAAACAACAATTTTTTTTAAGAACCCACACTGTGCAAAGCATTGTGCTCAGAACAGGGAAAAATGAAAAAGAACTTCATTCCTGCCCTCATGGAGCTTACATTATAATAAACAGCTACACAAATAAATATTATGCAAATTAAAATGCAACAAGGGCAAAGTAAGAGTCCCAACAAAAAATTATAGAGACATAGGGAGGGAAGATGACTTTCTGCCTTATAGAACACATACCGCCTGAACCAGTCTTTGGCTTCACCAGGTTGAAATGTGGAAAGAGTAAGATAATATAGAAAACAAGAATGTTTGATGTGTGGTCACACAACATTGGCGTGGATCCTTCTCCTGCCATTTATTGGCTATGTGACTATGGACAAATCACTTCCCCTCCCTGGACCTCAGTTTCCTTATCTATAATAATTAGGGAGTTGGACTAGATATAACTTAGTCCCTTTTCAACTTTAATATTCTGTGAGTCTATCCATGCATTCCACACACAGAGGCCAGCATGCATGAACATATGGAAATCTTGGAAAATCTGCTCTTCCAGGAAACATTTAATTCTAGGGTGTTGAGCAAACTACATCCTGCGCTTTATGGCAACTTCACGATTGAGAAATAAACATCTGACATGTTTAAGGTCTTCGGGAAACTCTTGCATACATTCTTTGGGAAAAGCTGAGCATGATGAAGGGTTTAGGGTTCCAAAAGCCAACACATCTTTAATTGTGGGGAGCAGAGGGGAAGGACTTTACAAGCGAGTTAGGTCACTTGTATGCTCACTGTGATTGGATCATGGAGGATGTCTGTCTACAACAAAGCTTAGAAACCAACTGATGATACGAAGACATTGGTCAAATCATCATGGTCCCACTGGCAAGTTCTGTTTTCTATTGTGTTGGCAACAACACTCAGTTGTTTCCTCCCATCAGAGCTTCCCTATTCTTCATGGTAATATAAAACACATTGCTGGAAACAACATACACACTCTATAGGAAAAAAGCACACACCAAAAGAACATTTGGGAATCACAATAAAATAAAACATTTTTTCCCCTTCAGCAGGTCAGAAGAACCTGAAGGATTTCAGCTGTAAAGCTGTAAAACTTGTAATGTGTCCAGGACTCCATAAATTTTTCATCTTGAGACCTGTAGCCAGAGGACATTTGATTTAAACTAATGCTTGGTGACCCTATGGCAGCTGGAAGCAGGAATACTTCATAGGAAAATGTGATAGGCAATGAAGTTGGATTGAAGAGGTGTTCCAGAGGACTGTCCTCCATCTCACTCAGCGTGATAGCTTTCTTTAATCCAGTGCAGATTCCAGCCACATAAAAGTCCTGGTACAAACCGTCGGAGGTAACTCCTGACACTCCCAATGCTCTAGCTAGTCAAGGAGATATTACATTATTTCAATTCTGGATCTCAAAGAACAAAAATACAATCATACCCACCTCAAATCCATCTACACTGTTGATTAATAGCATACAAAGTTAAAATGTTAGGCAGTGTGTTTATTTATTCAAGACCTTGAGTGCTACAGAATACACTGTTTGTGTGATGAATATGTGTGTGTGTGTATCTGAACCTATTATTTCATGGATATAGGAAATACCTTCTAGAAAAACTCTTTCCTCCAATGCAGATCAATAACTCTTCTGTAATTTATAGTCTTAGAAAGGTATCATGAAGTATGAGACACAAAGGGATGTGTCCATAGTGGCACAGCTAGTGTATGTTAGAAGCCAGATTTGAACTCATATCATTTCATCTGCCAGCCCTCAATCTGCTATTCTAGGCTGTCTCTCATAGATAGATAGATAGATAGATAGATAGACAGACAGACAGATATACATACATATACATATATATATATATATATATATATATACACATACACACACAGAGTAGAACTTTTTTGGGGATCTTGAAAGTTACTACACTTCCCAAGATGCTTAACATACTGAAATAATATTTCAGCACATAAGAATATCCATGATTTCAGTGGTGTACTATCCCCCAACTCTGATGTCAACCCCTCTGAGTTTTACTAGTTGGTCTTCATCAGCAGCTGTGACTGAAAAAATTCCTCACCTTATAGCCAAACCATTCTTGACTTAGCTAGACAACTATCCCTGAATGACAGACAAAGTCAATCATAGGTGGCATACTTACAGCTTTTCCAGCTTAGTAAAACCTACCAAGGTTTACACTCTACTGGATCAAGCTTGGAGAACTCAGGCTCTCCACCCCTGCATGATGCTTTTGAATAGTGAAGATAGAAAGAAAACAAGTGACTAAAGGTAGGAATTAGCCTTTTAAAATATATTTCATTTAATCTTTCTCCTCCCCCAAAATACCTGTGAGGAAAGCAGTGTACTACTCATATGCTCATTTGACAGATGTGGAAACTGAGGCAGAGAGTAACTTGTCCAGGTTGGTACAGCTAGAACTAAAAGCAGGTCCTTTAACTCCCTTTTTGTTTCTAAAGACATTTTTTCATCTAAATGTAAAGGCTGATGTTTAAGAACCTTTGTAAGGAATAATAACTAACATTTATGTAGTGCTTTAAAGTTTACAAACTGCTTTGCATATGTTATTTCATTTGAACCTCACAACAACCCTGTAAGGTAGGCACTATTATTTATCCCTATTTTAGAGATGAGTAAACTAAGACTGAAAAAGGTTAAATGATTGCCTGAGATCTCACAGCTAGGAAGAGTCTGAAGCCATATTTGAATTCAGGTCTTCCTGATTCCAAATCCAGCATTTTGTTGTTGTTGTTGTAGTACTACCAACCTACTGCACAGAAATTGTGAATTATTTCAGAAAAGCTGACATATTTTAAGTATTTCATTCAGAGGGTAAAGTAAGCTATTATTTTTGAGATTCTCCTTTATAACTTCCAAGCTTTTGGAAACAAAGGGAAAGGACTAGAGGTTTCATTAGAAAACATTAGGAATTAGACAAATCTAAAATTATTCTAAGACAAAAAAAATTTTTATTTTTAATGTGTTTATTTCATGAATTTCTTACTTAATCCCAATTGCCTCACCAAAAAAAGCTGCTAAAAAGTCCTTCATCCAATAATATCTAATAAAATTACTTTTCCCCATAATCTTATCTAGAAAACTGTTGAAATATCAGATTACTATTTCACTAATAATTATCCATTTAGATCTTTAAAAAAAAAAGCCTCACAATTGAACACCCTGCTCCATTCATAGTACTGTCTGGTATTTCTTAAGTATTGTGATGGTTTTCCTTTGTAAAGTTGTGTCTTCCTTCCTGTATGTGCTATAGACATATTAGTCTACCCGCTTGTCAATCTTTCCATCTTGAACCTGGAATTATATATTCTAAAGTATTTTTTAGAAAGAAAAGAAAACCATACTGTATGTATAAAAATGGCTCACACCCATGCAGTGCTTTTTTTGTTTAGTCATTTAAGGCATGTCCAACTCTTCATGATCTCATTGGTTTTTGTTTTTTGGGGTGTGTGTGTGTGTGTGTGTGTGTGTGTGTGTGTGTGTGTGTGTGTGTGTTGGCAAAGATAAACTGAAGTAGTTTGCCATTTCCTTCTCTAGCTCATTTTATAGATGAGGAAACTGAGGCAAACAGGGTCACACCACTGTCTGAGGCTGGATTTGAACTCAGGTCTTCCTGACTCCAGACCTGGCACTCTTTCTAGTCCACCAAGCTGCTTTCGTACTTTATAACTTTGAAAGCCCTTTCCTCTCAATAAACCTCCAAGAGAGGCAATATGAGGAGTATTAGCATGATTTCACACCCCAGAGAGATGAAGTAATTAGTCATACAGCTAGTAAGTATATAAGTAATACCTGCCAGACTCAAACTCAGGCCTTCTGACTCCAAATCTATTCCTCCTTCCACCACCCTCATGGTTCCTCATAATAATGATGGTTCCTCATCGCAAATGTTTATCACACAGGGCACTAAAATTGACCTTTCTGGACATCTTTAAAATTGTGTTGGATCTTCATTTTGTTTCCTGGGGAAGCACTCCCCAGACAACAAAATAGTCAATGTAAGCCGTGTCAATCAGGTAGCAACATTTTGGGGGTTTCGGGGGCTACTCCAAGTATAACTTCTGGCAGTGATTCACCTTCAAAGTTCAGAGTTGTCTCTGTCAGTTGTCTCATTGTACACACAGCAGGTCTGTCTGAATAAAAGTTTGAATGATTTGAATGAAAGTCACTCTGAAATTATTTTGGTGCTAAATACAGTCAGTACTTACTGAAAAAGACACGATCTTAGTAGAAAGAATCCACTGCTCACTAGAGCACTATAGCTTAAAGACCTCTTTTTAATTGAAGAAAAGTCAGTATTTGCTCAATCCCAAATCTATGTATTGTGCATGTATACAAGAGAGGCAGAGTAGCCTCAGAGCTAATTAAGACCTGCATTCAAGTCTTGTCTCTGACATATATTGGGTGTATGACCCTGGGTAAGTCTCTTAACCTCTCAATACTCTGGGCGACTCTCTAAGTCTAGAAGGTGCATTGGAATTTTGGAAGGTCTATAGATTATATCTAGAATGCTTTCATATAATAGCTCAGATTTATACAACATTCTCTAGTTGTATCTGCTAGCCCTTAGCCCAGGCCCTGACACATAGCAAGTGCTTAATAAATGCTTTTCGTTGTTTTATTCCTCACAAATACATAAAGTAAGCAAGTACTGGTTACCTACTCGTCGGCACTAATAACAAGTGTTATTTTTACAGATGAAGCAGCTTAGCCTTAAAAAGCTGGTGTGACAACTTGTCCAAAGTTACACAGAGGTTAGTGCACTGGGCCTAGAGTCAGGAAGACCTGAGTTCAAATGGGGCCTAAGACATTCACTAACTGTGTGACACTGGGCAAATCAGTTAACCTCTGTTTGCCTTGTG